CGCCCCCACCAATCAATCAATCAATCGATCAATCAATCAATCAATCAATGAGGGGGGAAAAAAAAACGCGTTTTTTTTTTTTTTTCCATTTTCGTTGGATTTCGCCCATACCCCCCCCACCAAAAGTTGATATTTTTCGTTTTTTTTTTGTGGGGGCGGGTGGGGCAGGGGATGCGCCGCCAGAATCTTCAACCCCCCTCCCCTGCGGCCGCCATGTGTCCGCGAATGCGCGCGTCCGCGCGGACACATCCGCGGGGTTTGCGGCCTGGCCGCTGCCACGGACTTGGTCGCGCCTGTCCGCCGCCGGGGGGGATTCGTAGGTCCACTATCCACCTCTGGCTTGCTTGTCCTCTATCCCGAAGAGTGTGGGCATGGTGGATTGATAATTGGAATAGGATTTGTGAGAATACTTTTGCTTGGGATGAAAACTGGATTTTATTCGGAGTCGTGGCACTTCAAATACAGGGCAGCAAAGACTGGGGCTATGTAGCGGGGGTCATACGAGCTGTCATTTTCTGGATCATTTGGGAGGAATGGAATACAGTGTTATTTCAAATGAGATTTCTGTCGGACCAGTCTATTAAGGCAAAGATAAAGCTTGCTATCGTACTTGCAATCAAAAGTGAATGGTCTAGGAAGGTATCCAGAGTCGGGAACAAAAGCAGTGGAGTGATATGGTTCCAAGGAAATTGGGCCAGGAATAGGCGGTTAGCTCAGTAGAAGGAGGCGGGATGCAGATTTCAAAGTGGTTGTTTGCGGTCTTTCTGGATCATCTAGGAGGAATGGAACGCAGTGCTATTTCAAATAAGATTCTTGTTGGACCAGTCTAAAGATAAAGCTTAATATCGTACTTGCAATCAAAAGTGACTGGTCTAGGAAGATATCCAGAGTCGGGAACAAAAGAAGCGGAGTGAGATGGTTCCACGGAAATTGGGCCAGGAATAGGCGGTTAGCATCAATAGAAGGAGGTGGGATGCAGATTTCGAAGTGGTTGTTTGCGGCCTAGGGACGACCTTTTTTTTTATAAAAAAAAAAAAAAAAAAAAAAAGACGGGCCCAGTGCCCAAGGCTGATATTGATACTAGATAAAATTGAAGTCGGGGTCCTCACAGTCTACCCGGAGTAACACTCGGTCCTTAATTCCACAGTAGGAAGGCAAAAGTTGGAAGGTAAGAGGGGCGAGAGGGAGTGTTAAAAGAGTCTGGGCCATTTTAGGCCCACAGTCTCGGGAATAGGGACTGAACTGTACAAATAGGGCACGACCTGGAAGCTCGGTCGTCGTTTTCCACAGTAGGAAGGCAGAAGCCGGAAGGTAAGAGAGGGTGGAGGGAGTGTTCCATAGAACAAACACCAGTTTAGGTCCACAGTCCCGACAATGGAGACTGAGAAGGCAGAAACACTGTAGAGTAACTGTAGTTGTAGCCCTTGGAGGTACTCCCCGAACCCTCATAGCCTTCGGTCCAAAAGCGGTGTCTGTACAGTAGTAGGTAAAAGAGAAGTAGTTTTAGATATAGTGGGGCTCACAATAACTTTAGTACAGTTTGCTATAGGCTTTTAGTTAAGCCGTTTAGACCCTTCTCTCACACTGTCTCTCAACAGTCTCCCTGTAGGATTTTGTTTGTTCTCTAAGATATGGATGATGCTTCCAAATATCCGTTCTGAACCGGGAAGTATTGTAGAGGATCCCGGCCTCTGAATGTTTTTGAGTAATTGAAATTGGTTCTAGACTTTTGGTGGGGGAAAAAAAAGAACAAAA